CTCTTCTCTCTCTCTCTCTCTCTCTCTCTCTCTCTCTCTCTCTCTCTCTCTAACTGGAAGCTGAAATAAATGCTTTCCTAAGTCACCTTCGGTTATGGTAATCCATCAGAGCAATGAAAAGCAACTGATGCAACCACAAAGGGAGGGACTTAAGGGTGACTGGCCAGCTCTGCTTCTGGCATCATCTCTGCTTCATTGTCATTTATGATGTCAGCGAACCACAAACTCCCATCACCTTGAACCAAACAGCAGTACCATGACTTCCCAGTGTAACGGGCTGTATTCTCTGAAACCATGAGCTGAAGTAAACCTGACCATGAAGTTGCTCCTGTTGGGTATTCTGTCAGAACCACAAGAAGAGTAATGTATGTCAATCTCTTAAAATGTTTAGAAAAAAAATGGTTACAGTGTAAATGGTACATTTCTTGTAAAATTCTCAAATCTGTGTGATGGTAGAAACAAAATATCCTCAGATACACTACAAGACGCCAGTATCAGACACCTACATTTACACATAAAATACAGAACGAGTTGAGACAAAGACTAAGGCTGAGTTGAAGTGGTGGATGACACCAAGGAAACGATTTTCCCAGACACGTGCACATATGAACTCATAGTGACTATGACAGCATGCCTAGGACCTTCACAAGCTCAAGCCAAACAAAATTTCAGCATGTGGCAGAGGAGATTGGCAGGAAATCCCATCCCTAACTGAGGAGCTATTGGTTATTGATTGCTGTGGGGAGAGGGAGAGTCAGATTATTAATATTACTGTTATTTATTATTACTATAATTATTATTAATGGTGTGACATTTGGTATATGGACTACACCCCAGAGTAGGCCCAATACCTAAGAGTAGTTGGCCAACAGAAGCTGGACTTGAGTTTAAAAGAGACAGAGACAGAGATACAGAGATCAGGATGGTGGGTGGGTTAGGAGGTAGGAATGGATCTGAGAGAAGCTGTGGGGAGGGGTGAATATGATCAAATTACAAATTGCATGAAAGTTGCCAAAAATTAACAAAAAAATATTATTTTATGAAATAAAAACAATTACAAAAAAGTATAAAAGAAAAGTAATTACAATATACTATATGGTATGATGTGACCATCACTTTCATGGCTACAATACTATATATAAGTGAATACTGGTCTATTAACAATTACCAAATAACTCTCCTGTAAATAAGTGGTAGAATTCTTATAAGCTAAAGTTTAAAAGAAAGAATAGCCAAATTACTCTCTTCTTCTATGGAACCTGAAAAAGCATTTCTTAAAACAAAACAAAGAAAGAATGATATTATCTGACAGTAATTTGAGATGTAGATAAATACGAAGTGAATCCGACAATGAAATTAACTCCGGAAAGATGGCATATGTAGGGGAGGAAGCAGCTGTCTTCAGCAACCACGCAAACACTCTAGCAGAAAATTCACCCTTACAGTATCTTCTTAATAGTCTTACCATCATGCTATTAGTAAATTGGCCAGTCTGGGTTAGCAAAGAAACCCAGGCCTGGGACAATCCCCTCTATGGTCATTATCCTGGAAACTCGGTAATTTTGTTTTTAGCTGACCGATTTTGAATAGTACGCCTTTTAAAAAAAGTATTTGCATGGCTTATATGTATGAAACAAACAGAAACGTCTATAACTGTCCAGATTTTAGGCAATAATGGAAGAGGAGATAGGGGCACTAGAGAGGCCAGATTTATCATTTTTTACTTCTGTTAGATAGTTAACTATTTTCCTAAAGATTCTATATATGTCAAATAATCTTCCTATGTGGCTGTGTGTGCATATGTGTATGTGTGCATGTCTGTCTCTTACTGTCCTCTACACACACACACACACACACACACACACACACACACACACACAAACACACACACACTTCTTTTTTAACTATCGTGGAAAGTTCTTGATAGTTTCCATGGATAGAGCTGATTGCTCACAAGTTACCATGACCCGTAAATTTTAATCATATCTGTAAATGTAAGTGGAAAACTGCAGTGACACCAATATAAGTCAGGGAGTGATTTCCAAGGCATTGCTGGAAAACAGAGTGTCTGCATGCCCTGCCAGACACAGGCTTCCACTCTTTCTTCCTGTGCTAACTCTGGACCACCCAATCCCATCGACAGAGAAAACCAGCTTCTTGTTGGAGTCTGAACCAACTTTCTACATACCAGCTGGCCAGATTCTCAAAGTGGGATTGGATCAGATTTCACATATATTTTTTCATTTAGAGAAGGGGACTTATTCAGGCCTTGGCCTGAGATTATCTTATTCTGTGAAGACTTTCCAAACCAAGGTTGGGTGTGGCGAGCCGAGCTGGCACTTGAAGGAGCTGAGGAGAGATGCCCTGTGGGATCCTGCCATACATCACTCCCACACACCCTATTGTCATGAGGACACGTTAGACAACACCACCACACCCTGCCTGTACTAGGATTTTCAATTAAAAAGAAATCTCCTGGGGTTTCCATGTAGATTTGTTACTCAGGGTAACATGACTTATGAGACCTAACCGAGGCCGCAAGTGTGTGGCCAGAGCCATGGAACAGAAGCTCATCAGGCAAAATAAAGATCTTCGATCCTCTCACTGGGTAGCTGTGTGTGTGTGTGTGTGTGTGTGTGTGTGTGTGTGTGTGTGTGTGTGTTACAATACTGAAATGGGAAACCTTTGAACATCTGTCAATTAAAAAATATAAAGGAATATAATAAACACGTCAATGTCCACCCAAGTGTCCAAGATTCAGAGCCTCTACACTCACAGCACCAGTGCCCATCCTCCCACAATGAGTCAAGCCTGTCAGAAAGGATTATTTTTCATACAGAGTAGTCTATGCTCCAGGTGAGAGGCAACATTAGCCTCTAGCTACATCAGAGAAGCCAAACCATATAATATAGTAGTTTATGTCATATATATTTTTCATAAATGTTTTCTTACACTAGGTATTCTTCTGGTTGGCACAATGAAATTTGGAAGTGGAAATCCTAATCAAGATAAAGCTTCATTTGTTCTTCTTTGATAATTTGCCAGTTGAAACAAAATATGTACCCAGAATGCATCACTTCTCCCTGCCTCAATCTTTACCTGCAGAAAAACAGAGTTTCATGTGGCAGCTCCTCCCTCAAGGAAAAAGAAATCAGCAAACAAGAGATTCCAATCAGGCAGCTTTCCCCACACTACCCTTCCCCTAATTAATGACCATCATGACACAAAGGTTGGGATACTTGCCAGTTGTTAGCTTCAACTTTGCGTTGTTTCTCAACATAGATGCAACAAACAGTTCAAGACTTGCTGGAGTTTCAAGGCAGAAAACTGAAGCCAAAATCCTCAGTATATTAAAACCATCCCTGCAACAGTAAGCTCCAACTGGGCAATAAACGGACTGTTCCTGCTGTTTCCTCTAAGCCGCTCCTGGAGGAGGCTGAAATCGCAGCCCCCTCAAAGAGGAAGCCCCAGCTTAGTGAACAAGGGGAAGGAATGCGCTGACCTCCAGGTACCCTTCGTTTCGGGGCTTTTCTGACATACCCTTCTGCACCACGTGCCTCTCCATCCTTCAAGCCAGCATTTGATAGTGGAGCTTAGGATGGTGAATGGTGATGGGTGACTCATAGCCCATCATTTATTTCCCATTAGGGGAAAATAAGCAAGACAGAGTGTCTGGTAACATGCTCTTAGGCAGACAGTTGCCAGTGGTTTTTTTGTTTGTTTTGTTTTTTTCCCTTAGATGTATCTTTTAAAGGCATCAAGCAGGAAACATTGAGAGCAAAGTTTAGAAGTTGGTGAGTCTGTGTATTATGCACATTACTATGGGGAATGGAGAGATGGTGCATACAGCATCGAAAGTGTGAGTTCAGGTCCCGAAAATTCATATTAAGAAATAAGGAGCAGCATGCATGATACATACTTGCAAGCCCAGTGATGGTGAGATGAAAGAAGAAGACAGGCACATCCCTGGAAGCTCTCTGGCTAGCTAGTGTAACTTACTTGGCAAGTGCCAAGCCATGGAAAGACAGTTATCAGAGCAAAAGTGGGAGAAACCTGAAGAACAACACCTAAGGTAGTTCTCTGACCTTGGCATGTGGATGTATATGTGAACACACACACACACACACACACACACACACACACACACACACACATATGGATATATATGTATATATATATATGGATATATGGATATATATGTGTGTGTATATATATCACATATATAATATATAACCATAACTATATATATATGTATATACAATCACTGTAATTTCTAAGATGCCTAAGCAAGGGTAGTTGCCATGTGGTGCTCTGACATTGTGATAATAGGAAGCTTCTACATGCAAGGTCTATGAGAGAGTAAGTAGTACGTCACCTGTAAAAGCATGGTAACTAAGGACACTTAGCTTCATGGAGAGCAAGTAGTCTTTTCCATGTGTGACTCATTCATAGACAGCAAATACATATTTATATGATTAGAAACATTACACAAATGAAATTCATTCAGTAATTCATCACTACTGTCTGAATACAGAAATTCTTTTTTTTGCTTTTCTGAAATACTTCCTTCTCCTGTGTTAGAAAGATGGTTAAACATGCCGGGCAGTGGTGGCGCATGCCTTTAATCCCAGCACTCGGGAGGCAGAGGCAGGCAGATCTCTGTGAGTTCGAGGCCAGCCTGAGCTACCAAGTGAGTTCCAGGAAAGGTGCAAAGCTACATAGAGAAATCCTGTCTCGCAACAAAAAAACAAAACAAAAAACAACAACAACAACAAACCAGAAAGATGGTTAAACAAGAGCTCTCACTGTTCTTGCAGAAGACCTGGGTTTTATTTCTAGCACTCCCTAAGTTAGGTTTCCTGTTGCTGTGATGAAACACCAGGACCAAAAGTAACTTGTGTAGCTAGAGTTTTCCTGCCTGGCCCACAGTCAGGACAAATCTCTCTCACCCGCCAGTCCTGCAGCCGCTCAGACCCAACCAAGTAAACACACAGAGACTTATATTGCTTACAAACTGTATGGCTATGGCAGGCTTCTTGCTAACTGTTCTTATATCTTAAATTAACCCATTTCTATTAATCTATAAGTTGCCACGTAGCTCGTAGTTTATCTGTATCTTAACATGTTGCTTCTCATCAGAGCGGCTGGCAAGGTCTCTCTGCCTCAGCCTTCCACTTCCCATAATTCTCTTCTCTGCTTGTCCCGCCTATACTTCCTGCCTGGCTACTGACCAATCAGCATTTTATTTATACAGAGCGATATCCACAGCAAACTTGGGCAGGAAAGAGTTTATTCATCTTCTGCTTTCACATCATCAAAGGAAAGTCAGGACAGGAACTCAAGCAAGGCAGGAACCTGGAGCCAGTAGCTGATGGCAGAGACCTGGGAGGAGTGTTGCTCACTGGCTTGCTCCCCATGGCTTTCTCAGCTGGCTTTCTTATAGAACTCAGGACCACCAGCCCAGGGATAGCACCACCCATAATGGGCTGGGCCCTTCTCCATAAATCACCAATTAAGAAAATGACTTACAGGCTTGCCTATAGGTAGGTCATATGGAGCCATTTTCTCAGTTGAGGTTCCCTCTTCTCTGGTGACTCTAGCTTGTATCAAGGTGACAAAAAAACTAGCCACTACAAGCACTCACACAGTGACATGCCACTGTCCATAACACGAGTTCCCAGGGACTCGGATTCTCTCTCCTGCCCTCTGAGGGTCTTGCACACACAGTGTATGTGCAGATGAATAAGCAATCACACACATGCAATAAAAAAACAGTAACTCCTTTTTAAAAAGGAATATCCACATTCTCAATTGACTATTTTGTTCAACTGCATGAATGCAAGGTTTTAGGGTTGTGTATGACTTTACTCAGAAAGACTGAATTTTAGAGCATTGAAGCTTGGGAGCCATTTTTTTATTCCTTTCATACATAGTGAACTTTATGCCTCGTGTGAGACACATTAGATGGAATTTCTCATTTTCCCAGCTTCCCTTGTAACTAGGAAATGAATGCAGCCAATAATTAAACAAAGCAAAGACTGCTTGGAAGAATTTTGAGATAGAATACAATATTTACTATAAAAAATCAGGGAGTAAAAATCTAGCTTTGCCCTCATATTCTTATTGTCAAGTCAAGTGTGGACTAAAGAAGTAATACTTAGAGGTGTAGCATGATGGGAGAGAATTTCAGCACCAAAGGTGACTGAAACAACCTCAATAGTTGACGTTTTTGTGAAACTATTAACATGAAAAACCTATCCCAGGATTGCCATACCTCTAGACTCACTTACAAATGAGTTATTAATTAGTGTTTTTGATCATTTTAGAAATTATGCTTTCAGTGGGGAAGTCTCATACTTGAAATCCAAAGTAAGTGATTGGTTTGGAACTGGGAAGACATAAGACAGTTCAGGCCAACACAGTAACACAAAGGAAGGTTTTCTATGGCTTCTGGATAAAAGAATTCACCAAATATGATGAACATTGATGCATATTTCTTCAAATGCTGGTCATAGCTATTGGAGACCTTGAAAGGAGCCAACCTGTATATGAGCCAAGAGACTCAGAATAGCTGAAAGGGAAGCTGGAAAGTGTCTGTGCCCTTGACAACATTGTTGAGACATTTAGTCAAACAGCTTAGTAGTCAATGCTGCATTTTGGCTTCCTAGTCCTTGAAGTAATTAATCTGCATAAAAGGTTTAAAAGAATTTTGCTTTGTTTACTGTGGAAAATTGAGTGCATTGATGGTCCCACTTAATATTGTCCCCAGGAGCATATTCTTTTCCGAGTAATTTCATAGGATCTGCCACCTGTGGTTACAAGAATTGCTTTACCTGATAGAATGTGGCAAATGTAATGGCAAGCTAGTTATAACTCTGGACCACAAGAGGCCTTGAGTGTCTCAGTTCTCTTTTCAAATCCTGCCACTTCCATGACCACCAGCCTGGTCCAATCTGTAGATAACAAAAGACCATGTGAAGTCAGCCAAATTTTCTCAGTGGTAGACCAGACCACTCCAAAGTCAGCCCAACCCCTAACATGACAGAGAATTAACCTAAGATCAAGGGAGCTGCCTACTGAACCAACTCCCCACAGACTTAAGCATGAGATGTCCCAAGACAGAGAATCTTTCTGCATATCTATGGACTCATGAGTGATGATCAATGCTTATTGTTTTAAGTCACTGAACAGGGAGGATACTGAATTTACAGTTAATAGTTAACCCATTCAGGTAATTTTGTTACATATATAACAATGTTCCTAGGTGGTAAAGCCACATAAGAATCCAAGAAAGTAGGCAGGAGACTACACTGCTTTATAATGTATAGTAAACACTCAGACAGTCTTGGAGAGAGTTTGGTTATGGAAATCACCAGCTATATATTTTAAACATATCACTATTGCACAGATATTGCTAAATAACTCTTCTAGGAACCTAGTTCAAGTCACTCTAATGGAGAAAGCAATGACAGATCAAAGAAATGATTTCACCAAGTTTAACATTGGTGGGCCAATGTGTTTAATTGTGATACTTACAGGTGCATGGGCAGTTTGCAGGTAGCCATTCCCCCAAAGAAGTCTCTGCTATGAGGAACTGTTAAACACTAATATATCTCATGAGCTCTTCTCTCCTTCTACAAGGAAAGGTTATCGGGCCCAATCTTGTGAGGATCACATGGGGGTATTCACAGCTGCATTGTTCTATAGATGTAAGCAGTCATATAGTACCCACACAACCGAGCAGGACAATAGACATGGAGGAGAACACTGGGGAAGATCAAGAGGTGAAATTTGTATAAAAAAAAGATTGATCTAATAAAGAAGAAAAAATTAAACTATAAGACATTATGAAGAACATGAGGTGGGTATCCATAGCCACAAATTGACCCCCACCACTTCATTTATCTAAAACCTAGATCTGGTGCTCAAAGATGAATTTCCACAGAAACAGTGCTAGTAGCACATGGAGATTTGATAGAAATGCAAATTAACCAGATCACAACAGATCTACTGAATGAACTACTATAGATGGGCCCTCTTGCTCCACTCGGTACTTTCCTGAGCCTTTCTGGTAATTCCACTTTACCTGAACTTTCACTGAACTAGGCCATCAGGTAAGAGTCAGCTGAGGGTCTCAGACTGTCAAAGACATTAGCACTTTCTTCAGGTTATTTTTTCTATAAAGGCTTGCACTGGGATAAAAACCAGTGTGCTGTGGAATATTCCTTTACACCGTGTGAATATATGTCATCGCTATGATTGGTTTAATAAACAAGCTGACTGGCCAATAGCTGAACAGAATAAGATTAATCAGGAGAGCTAGACTAGGAAAATGCTGCGAGGAAGAAGGGTGGAGTCTAAAGTAGCCTGCAGACTCAGAAAGAAGTAAGATGGTCATACCATACTGAGAAAAGGTACCAACCCATATGGCAAAGCATAGATAAGAAATATGGGTTAATTTAAAAGGTAAGAGTCACCTAGTAACACGCCTGAGCTATTGGCCAAGCATTTATAATTAATATTAAGCTTCTGGGTAGTTATTTTTGAATGGCTGTGGCACAAGAAAATTCCACCAACAGTGTGTTTTGTCTGGTTGAAATCTTACCACGCTAAATGACATCTTAGTCCCAGAATTTCTTCTCTAAATTTTCATTTTTCAGTGGCCGGTTTTCTAGCAGTAGCCACAATGGCCTCTACTAGCACTTCTTTTTAAAGATTTATTTTATTTATTTATATGAATGTATTGATGTGAATGTATATCAACTGCATGTAGGTATTCAGGGAGGTCAGAGGAGGATGTTGGATCTACTGGAGCTGGAGTGGTTGAGAGTTGCTCAATGTAGGTGCTGGGGACCAAGTTTAAGTCCTATCGAAGAGCAATAAGTGCGTTTAACCTCTGAGCAATCTCTACAGCCTGATGATTTTTCTTTCTAATATAGGCTTCCTCTGTGAGTAGATTAGTAGGTGCTGGAACACAGGGAGCATATATTTAGATGAGGAAAATGGTGTTTAGAATACTACAAAATGAATGACCTTCTCATCTTAAAGAGATCAGGTATTGGCCATCACCCATTAACAATTTGCCATTTGGTTAGATTATCTTCCTCTAAGGAACATGCTGCGCTCTATTCTTAGTGTGCTAGCTCTGTCAGAATATTTGTGGATATCTGTCAATGTCTCAGTTTTTCTTAATTCTGGGGACTTTGGGCACAATTTTTAGTATAAAGACCAGTAGCTGTTCAAGGCTTCACCCTAAACTTCATAAAAGAGAACTTGAGAGCAACGCTATGTAGGTGTAATTAAGGTGTGTAGGAGGGAAGAGGTGTGTGTGTGTGTGTGTGTGTGTGTGTGTGTGTGTGTGTGTGTGTGTGTGTG